GTGCGAATATTGAGGATTCGTATTGAGGATTCGGTCAATACGCGAAAACAATAAAAGCAAGTTTGGTCTTTATTGAAGTTTTCGTCGATACGTAGCCCATACGTGCGCCGGAAAACATTGCGCAACGTCATGCCAATGCGAGTTTACTACAGCCGATAGTTATTGGAAAAATAACTGATAGCTGATCGTGGCCGGTATAACGCTATAATAAATTTTAAATTCATGTATAAGCGTTTCCTCGCTCTTTTCCCGGTAACGCGATGTTATGGCAATTTGCATCCTCTTAGCACTTGCAGTAATCTTGTCCGACAAATTATCAATCATCCTCCTCTTTTCTCTTTTTTTTTTGTAGCTGCAATACAAGCTGTACGATCGCAGCTAAGATATATCGCTTAACGTGTTGCTTCGATATTCAAAGCGTCTACCGAAGAGACAACCTCACCCACTCCTCCTCTCGTCGAACAATCGGAATCCAACCGGAGCTTCCTTTCTAATACGTTTCTATTCTATCGACGCGATATATTTCTTCGATAATAACGATCGTTCGTAGAGAGTAGAATTAATCGTCCTATTATCGGGTTCTGAAAACGGAAGAGATAGGAATCACAAAGAAATGGGGCTGCCTCGTCGATATCAATTGAATGGCATTCGAGCAGCGAAAACTGCAACGGACTTTCTTGAATCTCTTCAATGGCGCTACATTTTCTCGCGAGGCGTATTAACGATCCGCCGAGCGTAAAGTGACTCGGGATACGTTCCACACCGCCGTAGAAGAATCGCACGAGTTAAATTCTTTATAAGGGACACCGGGGAATGCTGGAGCATCCTTGAGCCACGGGTCAAGGATCGTTTTCTCCGACGACTCCGGTCGGCGATGCAATCGGCGCCGTCGGGTCCCCTCGGATGTGATGGAAAAATGTGCTCGAGCGGTAGAAAAAAAAAACCGGCGTGATTGCACGCATGTCTCGCGTGCGTGCTTGCGTGATGCGTACGCGCGTAACAGGGACGGATGTCTACGAACATTCGAGGACACTGAAATATCGCGTAGTATTCGATGTATCTTCGGAATATGCGATAAATTTTTAACATTTTTTTTACAGAGAATCAACGTTCTTTTGTGTGTTGAACAAATTTTTTAATAATAATTTTTTTATTCTAAACGTTCGCCTAAAACTTCCAAAAATTCCTACGAGTAAGAATGAAAAAATAAGAGGAGAATGGTAGGCAGTTGAACCGCCGCGGCGTGTGTCGAACTTGAGGCGTCGAGTTTGATAGTTAAACTATATGTATTTTTAATCACCAAAGAGGAGGCTGTTTGAAGAGAGAAAAAAAGGAGAGAAGCGTGTGTAAATTATTTATAACCATATAGGTACTTCGCTTCTATCGCATTAATTCTTTAATGATAGCTTCTTTGAACCGGTTTTGAAGTTGACTTTTCCCTCAGTAAAAAGACATCGAAAATTCATCAGTCGTCCCAGGTACACGGTTATAAACGGGCGCCGTAATGAGCTCTCTGGGAAAAAGTTATCAGGATTATCGACAGGTGTGCCGCCTTCGCTGCCACCTTTTGAGGCCCTCCTCCGGGCTGAGTAAACCGCCTTCCAGTCTTCGTAATTTGCGCAAATCACCCGCTTCTTATTCAGGACACGCGTGCACCACGCGACAGATTGATTGGCGCGTCGTTTTTGTTTGGCCGGATGTCGCTATTTGCGGAATCCGTTCGCGTAGGTGGTCGATTGCCGCAACGAGCAATCCACCCGATTGTGGCACCCTCCACCACCGCCGTTAGGCTCGATTCGATTGTGATTCCTTTCCGACCCTTTCTTTTTTTAGGACCGCCGGTATTGATACTGTTAAACAAATGGAATCGCAGTTTCGCTTTTTATTAGAGAGGGAACACGTTTTGTTTTGAGTGGCGGCCTATTGCTTTCGACGAGTTATTCAGAGCTTTTTTTTAAACAGCGTATAAATCTATCCTTCTTTTATTTGATTTTTTTTTTTTTTACTGATTGAAAAGAACTTTTCGCGTCGAGAAGATACGATGATAGAAAGTCTTACAGCGTTATTGTCAAATTACCTGTGAGAAAAGTTGCGCAGTTCTCTCTCTTTTATATAAAAATAAAACTTTCCAAAAAAACCCAATGAATTTTCATGAGTTGTCCTCCTTCGTCCGACGTTTTTACTTCATGCGGATTTTTTTTTTAAAAAGGAGGCCATATCTACGCGAAATAATTTTGAGAAACGTCTCTAAAATCCCAGAGAGACTGTCGTGCGATAATTCGAGATTTAAATGATCTATATTCGCGTACTTTTAATATGAAGCAGATTTCAGCTTTAACTTTGCATTCACGTTCCTTTTAAATCTCAAATATTAATATTGAAATGTAATAACCGTTACGCTCGCGGATTACACGGGAACCGGGGAGCGCCGTTCGATAATTGCACAACAGGAAATACAAAGAGATAACTCCTAAGTGGCCAATAACCGTATGATTTACCCCACCTCTAGTGGACTCCTTCGGAGAAATTTATTAAATCCGTTCCTCGTCCTCACGTCTTTTGTCATACTCTGTCCTCCGTACCCCCGTCGAGATTCCCCCGGGATACCTAACCCAGCCTCTTCCCCTGCGGGGATTGGCCCAGTTTTTCCGCCCCCGTTCACGATGCTCCCGATTTGTACCACTTTTGCCCGAACGAAAACGGGCGACTCTATATCCTTCGATAAAAATAAATCGCGAGTGCCCAGGCAGTTAATGAGATCGATAGAGCCGTTAACGTGAGCGGATAACGGGGGGGAGGAGGGAGAGCAGGAAAGGGGTGGAGGCGGCATCCCCGCTTTTTCATATTATATATCGGCTCCGGGAAAATGGCCGATCGTATTAATTTCGTCTGTCCGTTTGGGCAACAGATGGACAGCTGGTCTATATCAGGGATTTCTCTTTCGCCGTGCGAAAATAATGCGCGCGTCGTGAACGTCATCTCGTTCATGCGTACAGACATGTAATTACACAATGAAGCGACTGCACAAAAATGACGTTAGTTTTGCGAGAACATGTAAAAAAACGTAAATAAGATTCTAATTTTGTTGCGTAATATTTATTATTTAGTTTAACGTAGGAATGAGGATACGAAGATTCTTTTCTAAAATCATCAATCTCGTACTTTATATATCTTCGAAAAAAAAGTTCCTTGCCTGATGTCAACGCTACGCTTCTCACTTTTTTTTTTAGAGTACTATTTCACGTACAACGTGTTACACATCGTTCCATTCGGACAAGGAAATCGTTTCGGCTGACCTGGCGCGCGTGTTCCGTAATTGCTGCAAGCTCTCGCCGTCAGTGTTAAAATAAGAGAGCGAGGAAGTAAGGCGGCGGTGACCGGTTTCGGGAATGCGTTGTGTACGTAGCCAGGTAGGTAGGTAGGTAGGTAGGTAGGCAGGGTCCAACTGTCCTGAAGTGGACAGTTGACGCGAAAGCCGTTTTCCGGCTTTCCGACTGTAAGCCGGGTTAACTCGCTGATGTAACTGAAAATAATTAAAGCGATGCGTGCGTGCGAGCACTCCACGCCGGGGTCAGGCGGCTTTAAATTCGGATACGAAATATAGCAGGGTGTCACGGCGTGAATTTCACGCACTTGTGTCGACCGTGCATGCCACATGTAAAATGCAGATAAACATTACTTCGTACAGAAGCTTATGTAAAGCTTGAATTTTCGCGCCGCGGTATTTCTTACGGAATAATTATTCACGAGCTCGATCAGTCTTATCGAAGCAGTACTGTTTTGAAAATTAATATAGATTAATTATGCAAGGTAAAGCTTAATTAGATTCCAGATTATTATTATCTCTTCTTTTCACACAAGGTGTTCCCGAATTAAATTGTCAAACTTAAAATATAAATTTAGGATTTCAAAATAAACAAAACTTTCCTGTGGAAGTTTGCTCAGAAACACTTCATTTAATTTAAGAGATATCTTAAATTACAGAGCTATAAGAACGAATAATGTCCAAATAATTTAGATTTATTCTCTTTATTGCTTTACAATAGTCAAAATGTAATTATTAAACGTATTGTTCAAAATGATAGCCTCCAATTCTAAGACAAGCATTGCATCTATCGATGTGAGAACGAGTGGCTGACTGACATTGCGCGTCTGAATTTTTTTCGCACGCTTGCATTATCCTCCGTTTTAATGAATGAAGGTCATTTAATGAGCTTCATACATTTTTTTACTTCAGAGCACTCCATACAAAAAAAAATTCAAAAGTGTTAAATCCGGTATTTCAACAATAGTCTTATAAGTTCTATAACTTAAGAAGTCAATATCTCTTAAACGAAGCGTTTGCGAACAAACTTCCAGAAGAAAATTTTATTTGTTTTGAGATCCTAAATTCATATTTTAAGTTTGCCGATTTGGCCGGGCGGGAACACCCGAAAAAGGCGAGGAACGAAAGCTTATATTCTTTCAGGAAAGTTAAAACCGTGGACACGTTTTAAATACAAATTTAAATGTAAGTAAAATCAAACGAAAACGAAATGTAAAAAGTATAAAATACCTAGATCTTTCACGTTTGCTTAAAACCGCTCTCATTCCGAAGACAAATGGTCAGTATAGAAATATAGCGATTACATATAGAATAGAATAATATAGAAATATAGCAATATAGAAACTATAGCGATTCTCGTGTGTCAAAAGACCGGCGCGGATTTCGCGTCGTCGGAATTCCGCAGCGAGTTACCTCACCGATCGTAGATCATCGTTAAAGACACTCGCTGCACTCCCATCGTTTACTGTCGGCCGAGCTACGCGCGGCGAGGCCGGCGGCCGCCTCGGATTCTCTGCTGCCGAGGTCTGCGCTGCGCGACGCGACTCACGCGACTCGTCCCGCGTCGGTCAAGCGGGTCAACAAGAGTGCGAACCGATGCCGCCATCTGACGGGGCGCGCGGCTACCCGCGCGCGGAGTTGCGCGCAACACAGGCGACAACACAAGGCGCGCGGGGGGACACGCGTAACGCTAGTCTCGACGACAATGGCGACCTGAGAAGGTTCGTATGGCGTGTGGCTGGGATATACGCTCGTTCCGTTACCCGAGCTTCGCGACACCGAAAGTGCGAGATCTCGTTCACCGCGGCACCGTGTACGCGCGCCCGTGAATGCGCGGCCCGTTCGCGCCACCGGGAGACGCGTTGCGCGCGCGAGGCGCAAACCGGAATCGCGTTCAGACAGATCGCTCATCCCGCTAGGGTCAGCAGCAGCAGCAGCAGCAACAGCGGCGGCGGCGGTGGCGGCGGCGGCAACAAACAGCGGCTGCTGCATCGACGACAGCGAGTGCGGCTGGCGAGCGATTCGACGCGGTGCGGATTCGCGGACGGTGCCGGTGTTGCCCCGGCGAAGAAAAAAAAAATATATACGACCGTGCCATGCACATCACGATCGCGTCGTCGCGTCCGCTATAATGCGCTGGTGAGTACGGCGAATACACACACCGTCGAATCGCGCCCGCGTAAAACGCCCGGCCGGTCTTTTTTTTTTATTTTTATTTTTATTTTTAAATCGCCCGTCGCGTCACGGCGTTCACGCCGCGGTCTGTCCTCCGCCTGCTCGGACCATCCGCAGTTCCACGCTCTCCGTCCCATGCTGCGTCGTGCGGCACACACGGTCGTGTGCGCGGTCGACTTGCGGAGGCGCCTTACGGAGCCTCGACGGTGAGCCCTGTGCGGTTAGGTTAGGTTAGTCTGCGAGAGAGACTGTGCAAAGCGAAGTTTGTTTTGCTCCCTTTTACGTTCGCCGCCGCGCGACGAGGGTCGCCTCTATTTTGTTGTACCGCGGGTCTCTCTTATCGCCGTTCCGAAGGTACGAGCCGTGTGTCGTAAAGGCGCTTTCAGGCGCTTCTCTCACTTTCTTTTTCTCTCACGCTCCGCGTGTTCTCTCTCTCTCTCTCTCTCTCTCTCTGTCTCTCTCTCCTTCTCGAATCCCCGATCTTCTGTCTCATTCCGTGTGACGGACGGACCGCTGGCGCGCCATCCGAGGTAACGGTAGTAATTTCGTTATTTATATCGGCATATGTAAATATAGGCGGTACGCTACGATGTACTTGCAGATATGCATACGCGGATCTCGAGGTTTCGCGTATATTATCGCGCGCGCGCGCGTGTGTGTGTGTGTGTGTGTTTTGTATGTGTGGGTGTGCACGCGTGCTCTTTCTTTCTCTCTCTCGTGCACCAGCGTGTTTATAAATGATAAGTCTCATGCCGCGAGAATAATTTTAATGGAGCAACGATGCGATAAGAATGTTTCGCTACTCCGCGAATGTATCTCCCCCGTATGTGTTGCTAGTTTGATCGGTAATTTGTTAAAAAAAAGTTCTCGAAGTTTTTTGATGAGTCCAAAATAATATTGTGGACAAAAACTAGATACAACCTTTAATTATGCTTTGCATCTTACGAAGAGAATTATTAATGAATTTGTTGCGAGAGATGTTCACATGATGATATCCAGTTTTTATTCCATAAAGAACTACAAAATATCTGTATAAATATACATATTTTAATAATACAGTTTTAAATTTATGAGTAAATATGTTTATTAATCATATTATCTTTAAATTATGATCTTTGTGCGTAAATATATATAAATTTCTATACACAAATTAAATTTATTATACATAAAGCTAATATTTATCCGTAACAATTGTAAGTAATAAATTTTATTAAACGTGAAATTTAAACATTAAACATAAATTTGTGTTATTTAATTAATACTTGACTTTGTTTAATCCCTTTAATTCATTTAATAATATAAAACGTTACGTATTTACATTATAACTAATATTTGCCTATTCACGGAATCTACTATCAAATATCAGTTATAAAATATTTACGATAATATACATATAAAACTTGATAATATGCGTTATAAATCTAATTATTTTATTACAGCTTTTTAAGTAAATTTATGCTACAACACAAATTTTCTTTTCATTTGTTTCTTAATAGTGGATTAAGAATAATTACTTGCCACGAAAATCCAGTGGTGCTGGCATGATAAAATAAGGGAAGCGAAGGAAATGAGCCACAATATTGCGGGCATGCCACCCTTCACAAGGATGCCACTGGGGGGTATGGGAATGGGTGTGAATATGGGCCCCAATGCCCCACATCCTGACTCTTCTGCTCACCCCCATCCACCACCGCCACCACCAGCTGGTACTAATCCTAAAAAGAAAAGGCGTACAAATGCAAGTGTTGCCCAACCACCTCCGCAACAACCTCCATCTGTACAGGTAGCTTAACTATATTTTATGTCTATATATTATAATGTGTTAGCGCTAATAATTTATATTGTTTTAATATTAATCTAATGTTCTTTCAACAGGACCTACTACCCCCGCCCTTAACTGGTTACGGTGACACAATAGTAGCAAGTAATCCTTTCGACGATACGCCACCACAAACCACGCAAAGTCCAATGATGCATGGCGCGCCTTCACATATGCATCCTCATCATCCACATCACATGGGCGGTCCTCCTATGCGAGGCATGAGCCCTTTAACCACGATGGGTGGCATGAGTCCTATGATGCCACATAATATGGGCAATATGAGCCCAATGGGTAATTCACCCATGACAAATCACATGAATCATATGGGAGCGATGTCTCCTATGAATCATGCTCCTATCGGAGGCATGAGCCCCATGAATAACATGGGCCCGAATATGCCTCCTGGTCCAATGAACACCATGAACAATCACATGAATATGAGCCATATGGGAAATTCGCAACTAAGTGGCCCACCTATGGGTAGTCCGATGAATAATATGAACAGTGGGCCGATGGGCAGTCCAATGAACAACATGGGTCACAATATGGGCAGTCCTATGGGTGGGCCTTTAGGTTCTCCGATGAACATGGGAGGATCTAATCACATGCCTAATGGACCAATGAACATGAACAACATAAATAGCCATATACCGCCCAACAGTCCATTAAATGGGCCGTCACTTAACAATGTAAACAGTCCACTGGGACACAATGGATCTCAACCTCATCCGAATCACATGGGAAACAATCTCAACAACTTAGGAAGACCTATGAACGGACCTATGACCACCATGAGTTCGATGGTGTCGAACAACATGAATATGACTGGGCCAAGTCAAATAAACAACATGAATATGGGTGGTCCAGGAATGAATAATATGTCTAACATGAACATTAGTCATCACAATCAAATGGGAAGTCACATGACAGGTCCAATGGGCACAATGTCCAATAATATGGGTGGTGGACCACCTATGGGACATCCTATTAATTCCATGGGAGGATCTATGCCACCACACGGGTTTCAAGGCCCGCCAGGAATGGGTCCAAAGCCAATGCCAATTTCTGCGGGCAAGGTAAGCCATCCTTTTATCAAGCATATTATATTACAGTTATAATGATACATTTAGCAGCATATAGATTATACAAATTTATCTTTTTTTTTACAGATCTATCCTCCAGATCAGTCAATGGTATTTAATCCACAAAACCCTAATGCGCCACCAATTTATCCCTGTGGAATTTGTCATAAGGAAGTACACGACAATGATCAGGCAATTCTGTGCGAATCAGGTTGTAATTTTTGGTTTCATAGGTGAGTCGTTGAGAAATAATGATCCAACGAGATAATATAAAACATGCGTTTTGACAACGCGATTATTTTAGGAGCTGCACAGGATTGTCGGAATACGCTTATCAATTATTAACGGCGGAGGTCTACGCGGAATGGGTGTGTGATAAGTGTTTGCAATCGAAGAACATACCCCTGGTTAAGTTTAAACCATAACACTTCGTGTCCCGTCGTTCATGCGACGCTCCAGTGACTATTTGTTAGCGTTAATATGTGGTACGCGCACATATGTGTGTGCAATTGTGCACACAACACATACACACAAACGACACCCTAGCACATGGTAAATATTAATGCACGTGCGATGTCGTGCATTCAATATAAAAATATGCTGTTTGTTAACAACTTAGCTTTAACTTGTTGAAATATTAGGATATCATTGTAAGTTGATGAATATGTGAAAGCTGAGATAATATTCAGATATCATTTTAATTTCAAGTTTGTTCATGACAAATGGATTCATACACAGGCTCATAAAATTATTAAATTAATATATTATTTAATGAATCTCTTGGCAGGTAATGGAAATAACTGGTATATGTTTTTTCTTATTTAAAAAACTTATTTATAATGTAAAATATTAAAAAAAAAATTTGTAATTCATGATATTAAGACGAAGATTTTAAAAATCTTAAGTTTTTAAACGATAATGTGAAATATTTGAGATTTTCAAAGAATTTAGTATTTTTGTGACTAATTGCATTTAATGCGAAATTAATGATATCTACGTATATTTGGATTTTATTAACAAAGCAGGTGTAAGACATATATTAGAGACGAGCCGCGAACAATTTTGCATCGTCTTTTGTTTTATCCTATATAAACGTTCCTGATATACATTGTAAATGATATCATCTCCGCAATTGACTTTTAAACGTTGTTTGTAACGATAATTTTAACCAAAATTATAACCAAAAAGAAAGTGGTTTGTACGAGTACCATTTGTCATTGGAGCCATCGAGCATCAATTATAATTTTTTCTTTATATTTCTGTTAATATAGGATAAAAGGTATGAATTAAAATCACATTGATACATTTGAAATCATATACGCAGGTCATACATTTTTTAAATTACCTTTATCGCAGGTAACGAATATATCGCCTTTATCATGCAGATGATATATTTATTGTGATACAAATTATATTGATTGATTGAAGGTTGATGTAAGAGCTTGTCACAAGTCCTATTTTTTATTGTTAAATCTACATGTTTTATTAAATTTAAGTATATGACTTAATACAATCAGCATGAATGGGATTAGCTGCAATGCGCTAATGCCATTCAAGAAACGGAATTACACAAACACAAATGCAGTATTGGTACTCCCAGGCGATATACCTAGAAATGCTGCAATTCTTATATTTTTATATATCACATATTTTATAAAGAAGACCATGGTAAATTTTACTTTAATATTTTTGATTTATTTTAGCATAATTCGGTTGGATGCGTAACACATGTACAAGCACACATTTAAAGACTGTTATACACAAATTGAAAAAAGTCTGTATAGTATAACAGATAAACATAAACAGATTGGATCATGTGCTTGATAAAATATATGTTTTATATTTTACTCATTCGAGATGCTTATGTTTTTAGATACAATAACTATTGTACAATAGACTGTGTAATTTGCGCCAGTGCAATCGAATTTGCAATAAGCAAACTGAGAATGCTTTTATCTTTAAATTATTATTTTTTTATGTTAATCATAATTTGATTGATTATACATGTATTGTTGCCATGGTTTAAACTCTTAATTTGTCTGCGCGGTTAAATTAGGATATAAGAAATATATCTCTGAAGCTGTGTAAAAAGTTTTTTATGAAAATAATTTTATTTATGAAGTAATCTTTAATGCTTACGCACACAGCAGGAATTTATTTACTGATATTAACATGCAGGTTTTTCTACTGTAATGAGAAGATTTTATATCCAATAGAAATCCAATAGGAAATAGAATCGGCATAAGCATCTAACATTTAGCTGAAGTGCAAAATGATGAAATTGTTAAAAAAAACTAGTTGTAAAATTGTGAAATTGTAAAATTTTCGGAATTGCGCCGCAGATTACGTGTCTTTTGCTAGCATTTGCTTTTATAATTTGCTTTTATAAATCATCTTAATTCACCGTTTATCTATAAAAGATAATGTATAGCGAATTTGAGTAGTGTGCATAAAGACTGTTGTACGCAAAGTGAAATGTAATAGCGTACCGTGCATACGCGGCTGGATGCTCAACACAGTTATTTCATCGTTCGATGTTTTAAAAGCGCCGTTCAAAGCGCCTACATTGTATCTATTAGCTAAATTAATATACAACGGACTTTGGTCTGCACTAATGCATCCAACCAAATTCGTTATTAAATTGAAACTATTTCGAAGTAAAACAAAGTAATATCTCTCAACTTCATGATAAAGGAATCTGTGCACACTTAACAATTTTAACTAGCTAGCGTAATCTTCGCATCTGCCAGATTTACAGTATCGACGATATTAATATTAAAAAGAATTGAGCATATTATTGTCAGGAGATTAACTGTTAAAACAAAAAAATTAAATTCCGTCGGCAGCTAATACAAATTTATCGTCTACGGATTGTATAGTTTTTTATATGTATATGAAATATTAGCCACAGATATATATATATATATATACATATATATATATATCATTTAATGCCTGTATTAAACGGAGATCTAACGAACGGAAGCAGAAATTTATTATTGAATTATTAGTGTATATTGTATCTCAATTAGGTGAATTTACTAATTTACTCTTAAGATGTAAAATTTAATTTTGGATCAAGAAATTAATTTTATAGGCCAATTTCTTCATCTGAAATTAAATTATTTTTCACTCGAAGTCTCCGTTTAATTCATGCCTTAAGCTTGTTTTACTATAATCGTTTTTAACACATTACATGTGAGTAACATACACAGGATCCTACATAATGCTCATATTTTAGTATTACAACGAATAGGATACCATCTTCACATATCTCCTTTCTATATTTTCTCGCGCGGGAAGATCACGTTACAATCTGTTATTACGTTACTTTTATTACAAAAGTTAAAAAAAATATGCAGGGGATTAAGCGATTTACGAAGACACTCTTTACATGGATAACGTCAGTGGCTGAAGCAACGGATGTAATCATTTTCTAGTACAAAAAAACGATGAGCTGTTTAATTTAAGTGACTAAAGGTAATATTTATCTTTCACAGAATTAAGCCATAAGTGATTATATAATTCTATACGATCGAAATAATTTTAATGACAATTGCTACACCATGTCATTCGTGACACGGAGCATCTGTCTCGATGCACGTGTCGCATAATAATTCCTTCGTTTTTGTCGATAATGATTTGATATGTGTTTTTATGAGCTTAACCCCCTCTTGTAAAAATTTGTTCGAAACAAATGCATTTTATGTGTCCAACTGTTTGTCTCATTGCAACTTTCTTCAAATGCAGTTACCTTTATTTTCAGAAAGTAGATTTGTTCGCGTTGCTTGAAATCTTGGAGAATTTTTGCACTAAAAATGAAATAAGCATATATATCCCGAGCGTTGCACAGAAAAAAAAGATTCTGAATGCAAAAAAAATGCAAGCAACACGAACAGATCTATTATGTATACATGCTGAAAAATGTGACGATTTCTTTTTTTTAATGAAGATGGAAATATTTCGCATAAATATACATTTACGGACTTTTCTTTTTATATGCGGTATAATATAAGCTATCGTATAAATATCTATTGACTTTATGTACATAAGCCTTTCTATATCTAAGATTTAAGGTGGGAATCAAGGAGAGAGAAAGAGAGAGAGAGAAAGAGACGCGCAAATATTTGTCGCAGTCGCACAGTGGTTTTATGTAAATAATATATATCACACGTTAAAAAAAAAAAAGATTCATCGATCATAATGTGTTGGATGTATTTCGCACTAATTCTTGTTCTTATAATGACGTAACATAACGCAGTTTACAGTCAAGGAGACCGACGTTACATCGTCTTACGTGCATGGGTTCTGCGGTGTCGCTATTATTTGATGCAATTACGTTTTATAGATCGAAGGAAAAGGGAAAATTGTAACTTAGGAAGTCCGACCGTGATTTAGAAATTTAAGAGAAAGCAACGCACAAAGAAACTTGTCGTTGCCAATTCGGCGCCGATTCGGCACATCGCTTTACTGACACACACATACACACAGGCATCATAAACAAAACACACGCATACACATTTTACACAGTATTATTTTGTAAAAAATTGCGGATTTTATTGTTATCCCGGAACTTCGGAACCTTCTCGATTTTGTCGTAGCAATTCTTGAAACATTCACGCGTCCACCACGGGCTTGGTTTATCGATTGCGACACGAAACGCGATAAGATTAATAGATGAAGAGAAAAAGGCAGGAGGAGAGAGCGAGAGACGCTGCGACTCAAAAATAACGTGGACGCAATATCACGAACGGGGCAAAAAAAAAACCAGCACGCGACAAATTGTTCATAGATTATTTTTTATCATGTGAATACAGAATATATATCAGCAATAAAAATTGTTATACATATTATATAGACTGGCGTCTACGTAATGTGTGTGTGTATGGCCATTTTACATACGCACCCGGCGCGTACCTAACTCCCACTCTTATGCGACGTGTACATGTTTCACTTATATATCTATTGTACATATTTATATGGCACTTTAAATAACAAGTCGATACATTGTTGATTTTTATATTACTGTTCTCTACCTTGAAACAGCATCCGCTCATGTACCGAGGACACGTTGCATTCCCGGACGTTCGATAAGACTTGCCTCATTTCATCTCGACTCGAGTTCCCGTCGGAATAAGAATTTACTTAACGAAGACTTTTCCCAACGCGGCTGAGCAATTGTTTTACAGGAATGTATAGGTAATATATTTAATGTGAAATTGATATTTCTCAATATTACGCGAATCTTATTATTACTAATCTCCATTTGTGCTCGATATCGGCAATGTCAATTGCACATTGGAAGGTCCTTATAAATAGCCGTCTAAATTTCCTCTTAGTCAATTTTATATTAATCCATTTATATCTTTCGAAAACTTAATTCTCTAATCGTACTATGTTTCTTTATTTTTTCTTAGATATATGAACATGATGGCCCATTTCATTCTCAGTGCTGAGTGGCGACGTCAATTCTAAATAAATAATTTTGTTGCGATGAATAATTTTATTCCAATAGGTAATTATATCTTCATTCAATTTATTAATTATATCTTAATTCATTCAATTAATTAATTTATAAATGTAGATAAAAAACGTATGAATGCAGCTTACTTATTGTTAGATTTCGCCGAATGGGAGAATTCTCTTCTCTCGAGCGTGTGTAGTCGCACAGTATTCGACAATGTTCTGGCAACGTGTGCTTTTGTCACGCGTCCGATGTGATTGTTCGTGTTCATTTCCTCTGTCCACAGTTTTTGCGGTATTTTCGGACGAACGTAAACGAGCGCCTCGTTACACGTTATCCACGTTAAGCCTGAAAGGGATAATGATTTTTGAAACGCGTACAAATCTAGACGACGATTTCCAGAATGATCCAGAAATTGCACGTAATTATGAGTCACTTACTTCTCTTTGAATTCTTGAATTCACGCTGATGGTTGACCGATTTGTGCTAAAAAAGAAAATCACATATATATATATATATATAAAGATATATATATATATATCTTTCATATAATTTATCGAGTATTATTAAATTCGTATTCTCTCTTCTTTCGCGTTAAATATAAAAGAAGAGAACACGTCGCTTTAAATGTAAAAAAGAAAAAAACCGGTCAAGTAAAATCTGATTTGTATCTGAATTAGATTTTCTAAGACGGGCGACGTCTCGACTGATGAAAATTAAGTTACTTCGTCCCTCTTGAGGAAACATCGCAGACATTGGTCCGCGGTTAGTTGCGTGACGTCCAGATGGCCGTTTTGACGATGGGACTTGTGCGAGGGGCAGCGTGTGCTGTGGCTCGTGTTTGCGTGTAATCCCAGCCTGCCGTACAATCCGTACTTTCTCTCGTCGGCGGGTCGTAACATGCCGTTTCTCCTCATCGCCACGTATATCTGTTCGAGCATGCCATAGCTCTTGATGAGAAAATCCCTCTGCGCCAGGGCCGTTATTCGTTCCCTCTCCTCGGACTCCGATATGATTTCAGGCTCGAAGGAGTACAGGGCGCTGGTAGGAGATCCCTGTGCGTCCTGTTTATTGATCTGTGAAAAAGCGACGATGATAATGTGCTTGCTCTTTTTCCCGGAGAGAGGCGGAGGAAAAGTACCATCTCATTTAACATTCCATTTAACTTCTGCCGAGTCTTCGTACTTTTTAATAGGAGATAATTATTCTCTTCTAGTCTTCGCTCATAGTGATTTTTTTCCACGGAGAAATAATGAGACATTTTATTGTATAGGTGACAGTTTGATTAAACTGAATGATCGAACTGTTTTGTATATACTAACGTTTTTCTTGGTCACACCGGCGGATTTGCTCTTCTCTTGCAATTTCCTTGATGCGTTTGAACTTTCAGGGCCTAATTTTTGATCGCTCCATTTCCCGACTATTCGCTTGCGCTCTTCCCCCCTCGCTTTTAGCTGAAATGAGGTAAAATTATTCACGAAAACGATTAAAAAGATAATTGACAGTAATTTATTTAAAGCATATTATATTCTCTATAAATAACAATGCAGTTTTATTTATGCTAAAATATGCTCTCTATATTTTTGAAGTTTTAAAATATTACTGGAAAATTAATATCACTCTGATAAAAGCTTTATGATGTTATACATTTTATATTCGTAAAAAGTATCGCGTTTTGTGCTTCACATATGAATTATAGTGGCAATGATTTTAACGTAACATTAATATGAAAAATTGTTTCGAAGATTTGTCTGTCAATTTTTCCGGGCATTAAATCGCAAATGTAATGAAAAATTCACCTCGTTCTCCTCTCTCTCTATTCTCGACGCTTCCTCTCGCGCTCTTGACGCCACCGTATCTTGGAAAACGGAAAGGGCATTCTGCGTGAAGAAAGGCTGATATTTATTCTCGTCAAAGCACGGATAAATTCTTCGGAAATTGCCCATGTGGTTGTCCTCCCACTGAAACTGCCTCTGCATGTAATCGTTCTCGTTTCTCTCGGATTTCATCGAAGTTGCCGTGTCGTTAATTTGACTGCGTATTGTAACATTTCGATTTATCATCAGATTTTTACTGCAATACATTTTTTGTCATAATATGTTATAATATAAGTTCAACGATTTTTTGAATTCTCTCTATGTTTTATGAATTATATTTTACAGAGGAAATTTTTAACAGATGTTTTAACATAAAGAAAAATTCGGATTTAATTTCTATGTCACGTATTAATTGTAAAAAGTATCTGTAATGCTACTTTTTACTAATAATGAATTTTGTGGAGTATTGATTGAAACTAATTACTACGAGACTGATGCAATATACACGGAGAGAATTTCCTTTTAAAATTTATTCTGAAAATCATGTTAATTATAGGACAATATAGTATTTCGGCAAATTTTATTGTGCACTACAATAAATTTTACTGTACACTACAATAAATTTATTATAAGTAGGGTAACTGTCCCTATTAGTGTGCCCTGAACCTATTAGTGTGCTTTTATATTTAAATAAGTCATAAAAATAAACTGGTACAAATAAATAGACAAAGTATTTTTTTTCTATAAAGTTAGATCGGAAGAG